TTTCTATTTTAGAATTTATTAAGTTATACAAAATACTTCTACTTTATAATACAATCTCCAGCGAAAATAACTTTTAAAATACCATTCTAAGACACTCTAAAACCAAAGCATGATTTAAAAAGTGGATGTAGAAGGCAGGTCACGTAATAACCAACCACAAATCTATTGAAAGGACCATAATAAATCAGATGAGAAACAGGAATTCTGGTTGTACCAACTACTTATGTCCATTCCCTGAGCCTGCATGGTAATATGCAAGTTATCTATTTTTCAGTGTCTGCTTACATATTAAGTATTGGGAGGAAAAGTGAAAACATACAAACATCCACATGAAAACATATGCACCAAAACAAACACACAAAGCCAAATTGCTGATGCCTACTCAATTACATTTCCTAGTGGGACTGGGAGTAATCAACTCCAATCAGAAAATTAAGAACATAGGGTATAAAACATGCCAAATTTGTCTTGATCACAGATCTAGTACCTTTTAGCGAGCAGACATGATTACTGCTTCATTTACATATTATGACTCATATTACGACTGTACACAAGCCCTGAAAAACAGGGTGATTATTCCACTGAAGTTTGAAGACGTGAGTGTTCAACAAAGGCAGTGCAGACACCTGGTCTTTCCACACAGACTAATACTCAGAGACTTCACCTCAAACAATCAGCAATTCTGAGCCTTTATCTGCCAGGCATTCATTATATGTGACACATTAGCCATAGTGATCACGCACCTCAGCTTTCTGAAACACGTCTGATTTTAAATGCTGCATGGCTATATAGCATGTCTTATTTTTGAGCCTGAAGAATACAGCCTTCCACACTGCAGAGAACAGCATGGAGAGATCTGTTGCTGACGGAAGCATAAGAAAACCAGAAACTCAGAGTTGAACAGTACAGGCTGACAGAGGAGTGAAATGGGAAGGACATGGAACCAGAGGCTCAGGGGGATGATTAGCATCTTGGCTTCATTGTAGTCAAGGCTTCACAACACATGTGTAACTTACTTAACAGAACCGAGTGTTTTATATCTTAAGAATTTTAGATAAGAAGATTAAAAAGCATGCTTGTGTTATTAATGCGATTGGAATCACCTAATGTGCAGCCCCAAAACTTCTGAATCACATATCCCTTCAGTACAGAATTGTGAGCACTCAACCACTATGTATTTATTTATTTGTAAATATATGCACACATTGTTGTCCTTAGTGACTATCATCTGACACAATATATACTTTGGATGAGATCAATCATCAACAAGTGTGCATGCATAGTTCATTTTTTTTTTCATAGTTCTTTAAAGTCCTGATGCTGGGAGGACCAATAGTGGGTAAAGCAGTCAACTACAGTGCCAACATCCCATACCCCAGCTGCTCCACATCCCATCCAGCTCCCTGTTAATGCTCCTGGGAAAAGCAGCAGAAAATGGTCCAAGTGCTTGGCTCCTGCCACCCATGTAGGAGACCAGGAAGAAGCTCCTGGCTCCTGGCTCCTGGCTTTGGCTTGGCCCAGCCCCAGCCATTGGGACCATCTGGGAAGTGAACCAACAGATGGAAACCTCTCTCTCAACCTCTCCCTCTCTCTTTGTACCTCTGACTATCAAATAAAAAATAAATCTTTAAAAACAAAAAAAAAAGTACTGGTGCTTTCTGATTGTTTTTGATATGACTAAGAGGAATTAAAATTAGGAGTAGGAGTGTCAGTTTTATAATTTCCTCATAGTTCTTCTGCATTGCTAGTTTATCCTGAAGCTAAATGTTCTTTGGCTAGAATATTTTTAAGCCACTCATCAATTTCATGAGAGTTGTTATTTAAATCTAAGTTATAATCTATAGATGCACTTAGCCAGGTGCATGAATTGCCAAATAACACAGCATGCCCAGAGTGAAGGCACTGAACTGCAGAAGCCCCACGTCGCTCATTGCAATCATTTTGTGATGCATGCCGTGTGACATATGTGCTAAGGAGAGATGCCAGTGACAACCTGCATGTTAATTATTAGTAAAGTTTAATGTATTCCTTTCATATATATTGCATTGAGTTCTGTGTAAGGAAAAGGCTGCAAGATTATATCAAACCAAAATAACAAAAACATGTAAGTACATAAGGAACAACAAATATATGTGTTCACTCCAAGGATCTACCATCCTGGTATCTAATCTCTGCACTTTCCAGAAACAGCCTATGGAAAACATCCTATACAAACATCCACATAACAGAGTAGTGACCCAGATTATTGCCCTTAGTTACATCTCAATATTCTAATTTACATTCATTATTTTCTATCCTTCCCATTGGCTCCATCTTCTTTCTAAACCATCAATATTCAGAATATCCATTTCCCATCTAACAGAATGCCAACTTAGCACTCTGTGGGATACCCTCCAAGTTCACTCTGATGGACTCTCCCTTCTGAACTCTCCATCGGACTCCCCATGAAGCCCTGGTCAACTGCTCTAATCCCAGGGCACTGACCAAAATAATCACCGATTACCATTCAAATTTGGATCAGCATATGCCTCTGAATTTTCCCATTTTCCTTGGTCCCTTCTTCAGTCAAATCTTCTGGAAACTTCCCGAGGAGCCCTCCTCCCATCCCAAAAAAGATTTATGGATAAATAAAGCAAACCCCATCAGAAAATGTAACTGGCTTCTACTGAGTTCAAACAAAAAAGTTTGACTTTATATAAATGAAAAAATCAAGCAGGATACACAGCAGACTCATAGAATGGCAGATGTCCTCAACAGCACTCTGGCCTCAGAATCAGCCCTTAAGGCATTCAGATCCGGCTGAAAAGCCCATGAGAGTATTTCAGGCATGGAAAGCCAAGACACTCTGGGAAAAAAAAATGACCTAAATGAAAGATCTCTGTGAGTGAGATTCCAGTGGAAAGAACAGGTCATCAAAGAAGGAGGTACCTGTCTCTGAAGGGGGGAGAGAACTTTCACTTTGACTATGACCTTGTCTAAATATGATCAGAGTCAGTGAACTCAAAAGGCTTCCATAGCTTTGGCAACTCATGACAAAAGCCTAGAGGGATTACTGATACCATAAACAAGAGTGTCAATTGGTTAAGTCAACAACAGGAGTCACTGTGTACTTACTCCTCCTGTAGGATCTCTGTCCTTAATGTGCTGTACATTGTGATTTAATGCTATAACTAGTACTCAAACAGTATTTTTCACTTTGTGTTTCTATGTGGGTGCAAATTGTTGAAATCTTTACTTAATATATACTAAACTGATCTTCTGTATATAAAGAGAATCGAAAATGAATCTTGATGTGAATGGAAGGGGAGAGGGAGCAGGAAAGGGGAGGGTTGTGGGTGGGAGGGAAGTTATGGTCGGGGGGAGCCATTGTAATCCATAAGCTGTACTTTGTAAATTTATATTCATTAAATAAAAGTTTGAAAAAAAATAAAAGATAAAAAAATCAGCATAGTGGTGGGAGTGGTGGGTACCACTTTTTTCACAAGAAACAAAGTATGCTGGTTTTTAAAGCCTGCCTCATATAGGAATTGAATAATTAAGCAGCATTTCAAAGTGTGGCTATTTGGAGAGGGACTTCTGTGGATTTGGGAACTCCCCAGAGTGGTGTTGCAAAGTGGTGCAAATCTATTTTCAGCCCAGACTCAAGGAAGGAAATGCCCCTTCCCGTGAAGAAAGCCTTATTATTATCAGTCCTCAGCACCACAAAGAGAGCAAAGACCCCAGAGAGAAAGCAGACACAACACCGGAGCCTCCAAGAGTCATTTTCATTAATGAGTAAAGTGGTTAACACTTTGCATAGCCTACTTGAGAGAAGGAAAAGTCTTCCAAAGGAACCAATTAATTGATAACTGATGAGTTATGTTTAAGGAAAATTGAGAACATAGGGAAAGTTTGGGGCCCATAGTGATAAGGACATGACGCCAGAGGTAGACACCAGAGCAGATGGCCCAGGACATGAGCACTAGGACACAAAGGAAAAGATCTGAACCACTTCCTAGAAGATGTCTCCATAACTACATCATTTTAGACTATCGTGGCCACTTTATGAGGATGGAGGTGGAAATTCATTCCAAAAACACCACCTATCCTTAGACTATGTCAGACATAAATGTACAGAGTAAAGTATTTATAGATCTCATTAATTCAGTTAACCTCCACAAATATTTTATTATCTAATTTAAAGAATGCTTCCAGAGATCGTGACCACAGGGTCTCATGGTGGATAGGCCCTGCCTAATAATTCTCTCTCAAGGCTGGGCAGGCCCAGTGAAAGAGCACCGTTAATGAACACTGTATTAGCTAGACTAAAATCTGTCTTGAATGGGCTATAATTTATATTTATAAAAAATAACTTTTAGCAAATAATTTGAGTCATTTTTAAAGTTATAGAAATATTACTAAAAATTAGCAGCAATAAATGTTGTAAATATTTTTGAGGCTAATTTATGTGTTAGTGACATAAGACAGGACCATCATGTTTATATTCAAGTTCTGATGAAGGTCTGAATGCTAATAGAGTATTAACATCTTTAAATAATAACCAGCCTCCACCCCCAGGAAGTTAAAGCAAAGAAAAATTTATTCCAGATATTATAAATTATATATCGCTCATCTTGATCTCAGTCAAACTGATCATGTTTGCTTCACTTGAAATAAGGACATCTTTTTAAATTTGGGATCAGAGCCATTTTCTTTCAAAAGAAATAAAATCTAAAAACAAAGCAGCCATTATTTGCTATTAGCTACTGCAGGTCCCCATTCGTCTACCAGGGACAGGGAATATCTGTCCCATGGGCTGTCGAAGGCCCATGAAATCATTTAGTCTGGCCCTGCTAAGGCAACTGCAGGCAGGACTTGAAATTCAATAAAACCTTAACAGGTTAATTTTTAGGTTATTAATTTTGTATTGCCAACAAGTGATGCTGTGAATATCTGAATTTCCCCTGAAACCCTGAAATCCAAGAGATCCATGCCTATCAGAAGTATGAGGTCCCTCTTACCTGCCAGGTCCCTACGATGGCTCAGCCAAGGTCTTTGGATCCAGAAGTACAGCACAGCAATTATAGAGCATTCTTCAAGTGACCTGCACCAAGTTATAACAAAAAGAACACTTCAGAAAACAAAAATTTCACTTTAATGACAGAACCAATATGAACCCAGTTAAGTCATTAAAGTCAATCCTAAAACTAGGCTTTATGTGGAAAACATTTTCCATCTATACTAGTTGGCATATATACTAAACACCACACCAAAACATACACAAGAGAGCACCTGCTATAACACACTATATTAATAGCATTATATACATGAGTACCAGAAATTATTCCCAAAGAAAATTCAAGGAACAAGCCTTTTATATTGATATTTAAGGATGTGAAAGATGTGTTATCAAATTCCTATTTTCTTCAGGACTCTGTTGATTGCAAGAGAAGAAGACAATTTAATGAGGTTAAGGAAAGCAGTTTAGGAAACCCAAGAAAATCACACAAAAAAAGCCGCTGGACATGCAAGGCGGTAGTCAACCAGATCATCCTGACCGCTCCTTCTGCTGGGTGTGTCTTGATCTCTCCCCTCTCGCTCTCATTGCCAACTCACTTTCTCCAAATGCCAAGTTCTAAGTAGCAACCCTGGTTTATAGTTTATGACATCACCACCAGAGAGAGATCATCTCACCAGCTTCCAATTTACAAATTTAAACATCACAGGAAGGACCAAGCAGCCAAGCTCTGGGCAGAAGACCATCTCTAGCCAGGGATTTTGAAAACACCAGATGATTCTGCTCTGACAAAACAGGAATTCCGAGAGAAAAGGAAGTAAGGTGCAGACTAAAACACACATCCACTACAATCTCATTCCATCGTGTAATACAGATCGAAAGAGCTGTTGGGGGAAAGGTCAGATTATTTTCCTTAACCGGCGATATTTTTTAATTGTTTCAATATTTTCATTTCTCACTCCTAGTCATTGATATCCCTTTGTCCTTTGCTTCATATGTTTAATCGGATTAATAACTGGCATTTTTAAACAGATTATTCTATTCTTACCTTCTTGAAATCACAGCTCCTAGTTCATGTGAACCTCAAAAATCTACACTTTCAAGGGGAGAGAAACAAACAAATGTGCTTCCAGAAACTAACACGTCTTCTCCTTTTGAAATGAAGTGTCAGAAGGAGAAAAGCACAATTAAAATATATAATTTTAAAAAGTCACTACCTGTCAACACAGAATGTTGTTGTAAGGCAAAATCAGTCAATAACTACTCCAAAATTCACAGTGAACCAACCCACAAACCAGAGGGCTCATACGCTTGCACACTGAATCTGCTCCCTCACTCCCTCTTCTGAGGGAGCGTAAATAACTGCACACACAAGGAAAATCTCTACAACTAGAAACTTGATACTCTCTCTATTAAATGACACAACACTGAGGGAACACATTAGGACAGGTAAAATCCCTTCTCATCACTTGCTAACTATACTTCTACCAGCTTGTGATACTCTCATTTTTAATGCTTCATTATATACATCCCCGTAGACATTTTTTTTGGAGAATTGATTCTACATCACGGATTTCTAGATGGTGATATAAACATTCTCCCCTAAACTCACTTAACACTACAAAGTTCTCCAAAAGTAGTATGTACTACAAAGCTTTAAAATTAGAATACTGTATCTCTAAAAAGAGTCATTTTAGAAGTCTGCAGGAAGCCAGAAATATTTTAGTTTTACTGAAAGAAATTGTTTTTCTGTAAGAACATTTTTATCTCCTCTAGAGCCAAGTCCTACTCACCTCCCAGCACCTCAGCCTACAGAATACTGCCATAGAGCTCCCACTCCACCCAGGTGGACAGGGCAGAATGCCCCGAGTCCTGACAGGTATCTAAACTCCCAAGCAGCATTTCTCTTGTTGAGTTCAGTGACAAGTAGATTGTGTGGTAAGGGGCTCTGCACACTGACATAAACCTAGGTGAGATAGGCTGGGGCACAATAAGAAAGACGACCAAGCCCAAAGCCCTAGTCCATGCCTCACCCAGTCACCACCCAGAAGAAAGGGACAGTAAGATTCCCCAGGAAAACAGCCCAGCCAGCCAGATCAGCACCCACAGAGTTAAAAACCACTCAAATCGATCCTCAGGAATGTACTACAAGATACCAAGAGGCTATGTGACGAAGTCTGTTATATCACAGTATGGGCTCGAAACCACACTGACCATGGTCCTTTCTGATGGCCGTGTACTTGCAGCAGCCACGGAAAGGAGACAATGGGATTATTACCTGGATTTCGATCACCTGAAGACAGAAAAACCAGCCGTTGTAATAGAGGAAAATCACGAGGCAACAAGGATGACTTGTTCTGAACATAGTCAGAGTGAAAATGCCAGCATCAAGAAGCCTAATCAGAGATTGAAGGAGAAAAACACAAAGCCAGATAAAATCAAATAGTTCCAGGCTGGTTTGATTCCCTCCTGGAATTTCTCCTATACCAGGTGAAGCCAGTACAGGATTGTATGCCATGTCTACGACTGATGGTGTAATGGATCAGAATATAAATTCCTGGAGGAGATGGAATCCACGGTGTTTCTTTTTTATTTTATGAACAGTACAAATCTTCCACAGTGCCCAAATATGACGGGACTTCAGAAAGATCACAGAAAATGAAATTAAGAGATAAGTTTATTTTAGTGCAAGACCAATTTGGAATCCAGGCACAGTTTTTTCAAAATACACACTGTCCATGAACTTTCTGAGGACTGCTCATATATAAACCCTGAGGTAACAACTGGAAAATTGTGAGATTTCCCCCACAATGTTTAAATTAAGTCAATTCACTGGACTGTAACAGTAAGAGAAAAATTCCAAATATATTCAAAACAGATCACTAGCACAGATGCAGCAAAGGCAATAATAATAAGATCCATTGAATAAATTCAAAGTGTCCCAACAAACACTTCATATTTTTAATGTAAAGAAAATGAAACAGACATTTCCAGAAAACTCTCTTCAAAATCAAAATAATAGGGTGTAGGAGTGTGGGGTAGTGTTTATTATCAGATACCAAAACTATTCCTACAGGGCTGTTGGAGAAAGATATAGACATACTGGAAGGAAAAAGTGTTGTTTCAAGGACAAATACCAACTCTTAGTTCTCACCCATACACCAATTACAGGATTTTCAGACTTGTGGGTATATAGATCCCTTGACAAGTGGACACTAGCACTGCACCAAGGGCAAATCTTCCCCCCACAGTGTTACGGGGACCACCAATTACAGATCTTTCTCAAGCACCCTGGTGACCCCAGAGAAAATAGCAACTGAGCAGAGAAGTGCAAGACAGGAAAATTGATGACCCTACAAAGCTAGAAAATACTCACTCTGGAAAGGGAAGGGATGAGGTTGCAATATGAACAATGAAAAAATGTTTAAATGAAGGCTTTTAACATCCTACCATAGGGGAGTTTAAGAGCTCCGACATTCCACTTCAGTTCAAAGTGATACTCTATAATAGTGCTATCCAACACAAACATAAATGCAAGCCACAGATGAAACAAATTTTCTAGAATTCACACTTAAAAAGCTAAAAGGAAACAGGTGAAATTAATTTTACTTCATGTACCCAAAATATAATTTCAATACATAGTAAGCAGAAAATTTTGTTAATTATATTATATATTTTTCATACTAAGTCTTCGAAATCTAGAGTGCATTTTTTTTTATCTGAGACACAGAGAGAATTCACATATGCTGGTTTACTCACACAATAGCCCCTGTCTAGGGTCAGAGTTGGGAGACAGGAATGAAATCCAGTTTTCCCACACAAGGGTGGCAGGAATCCAAACACTTAAGCCACAACTTCTGCCTCTCAGAATATGTATTAGCAGGAAGCTATAACCAGAAGGCAGAGCCAAGAATAAAACCCAGGCATCCTGATACAGAATATGGGCATCTTAACTGACATCTTAACCATAACCAAACTCTTGCCCCTAGAGTATAATTTATTCTTATAGCACATCTCAATTCGGACTAGTCCCATTTCAAGGGCTCAATAGCTATGTGTGGCTAGTGACTACTATAATGGACATTACAACTCTATAAACACCTCAAGAATAATCATTCACTCATTCAATTAATATGCAACAAGAGCTTACTCTGTGCAAGACACTAAGAATAATGCACTGAAAAGAATGAACACGTCTCTGCTCTAACAGACCATGGAGTGTGTCATATTGGCAAGAACACAGCCATTAATCGAGCAGAGTAGTAGAGAGCTGGACTGGAAGAGGAGCAGCCAGCACTTGAACCAGCGCCCATATGGGAGGCTGGCACTGCAGGTGAAGTCTTTACCCTCTCTGCTACAACACCAGACCACCACTGCTACCCCCCAACAAGAGTCTCTTAATCCTTCTGACTCTTCGGTCAAAATGCCCTGTAGATGCACATTAAATGGCATAAATAGAAAATCTGGGCCAGCCCTTATATATCCACCAAAACAATCTACATGAAAATTAGAATAGTCACCAAGCAAGTCTGCTTGTCACCACATTCTAAAGGGGTTAGAGAAATCCTGAAATCACAACAGAGATTACCATCTGACAGGTGGGTGAATAAAGTAGACAGCCTGTGACACTATCATGTCAGTCTTCCCAGAAGAGAACCAGGCACAGTACCCTCTAACACCCCACCCACAGAAGGAGATGTTTGTCACTATTATCCTTAACACAGAAGAACCAATGGGATTTTTTCCACTTCAACATGCCCAATTTCAGAATCTCACTTAAATGACTGTTAAAAAAATTTAACATCAAAAGAAATGTTTCAAAAATTTTTTTTCATTTGACGATTTAGAGATTAGTAGGCCTGTGTTCTATTTCCTTATCCATTATCCCAGATTTTGAGCTACAGATCATGTCTCTAAATCTCAAGGTCAACAGCAGTGCTCTGAAATAAAGCTCTCAGATATAGAAAGGAGGCATTTCCTAAGCAGTGCTCATCTCTCTCTCTTGGAACACACAACCACTGACAGCCACTGAGCTTAGCAACATTTTTAACCCCTTCCCTCTCGAAAGTATGCAAAGTGCTCTGAGT